TTTATATGACTAACCAACAGAACTACGTAGTCTTTTATACTTTTCTTTGGGACAGTCTGTAAGGTAATCGATCAATGAGGCGACGATCATTACAATACCAGTAACTACTAAAATTACACTGAAAAAAAATGCTTCAGATTCCTAGCAAGATGATATAAGTGCAAGTTTTTTTTTTTAATACCTAATTTAGAAGTCAATATTACTGAAATCAAAAAAAAAAAATCAAAGAAATGAAACTGAACAAAAAGTGGTTGTTGTGTATTATATTTTTATACAATGTTAATATATCTAAAAAAAATACTATCTGGTAACAATTAAAAAAATAAGCGGTAATAAATTATAATTTTTTAAAATAGTTTTTTTTGACAGATTATTCTGTTCATTAAAAGTGTTCAGAACAGTGTTCTTACATCATAACCCAAAATCCAGCATCTTTTTTTGGTGGTTCGGGAGGTCGACATTGAGTTCTACAAAACTGAAGACCAAGTTGACGAATTTGCTGTGGAAGTTGCTGAGAAACTACTTGGAAAAATTGTGTCATTTCCTGCAATTGTATTTCAATAATTTTTTCACTTAAATTTTAACACTAGCTTTTCAAATTTTCGTTTCTTTTCTTTCATATGTTTTTTATTTTTTTTTTCGCTTTTATTGTTTTCAACAAGATAAATTGCTGAATTATAAGATAAAAGTTGGTTGATCAATTGATTAACAGTAACCATTAAAGTTTCATAAAACTCTTTGAAATTTCAAGCAGTAAAAACGAACAGTTTGCAGAAGTGCTAGAAATTTTAATCGTCTGATTTTGATAAACTGTCATAACCTGCTAACCCTGTAGTTCTGTGAATCAAATTGCTTTACAAAAGCCGAAAAACAACGTGAGTAGTAAATCTTACTTCAATATGTGAAAAATCAACTAAAAGTTTTTCAGTTAGGTTGTTTTTTTAAGATGAAAACATAGAGTTGAATAAATGTGATTAAACAACTTAAATGCAGTTCGGAGTAGTTGTAACCAAAAATGGATCTGTAAAGCAGAAACTTATTTAGAATCAAAATATTTTCTCATAAACTGCTTCTAGATAAATGATTTTTAAAGCTGTATTCAAAGCAAAAAAGAAACCTCTTCAGAGCACGTCCGCGGGACACAGGTACTCCAAGATGCTAACAGCTGATCATAATCTGTTTTTGTGCAAATATCTGGTGGAAGCTGAAATCGTATTTACTTTCTTAAAATTTCTGTCAACAATCTTCTGTTTTTCCTATAAAAGGTGTCACAAAAACTACTAGGTTAGTGCTATAAGAAATTACGAAAAAATTTTTATCATGTTCTTTGAGTCTCTTTAAACTGTCCAAACAACAAGTTCTCTTTCTAGCCTTATTGAAATAAACGACTAACTCACATTTCCAAGAGCCATCGCTGTTATAGGTGTTGCAATTTTTACCCAACAAAACTTTGTTGCATAATCGGGTTTTGTGGGCGAAGTTACAGCCAAACACTCTTCCCAGGACCCTTGCCAAAGGTTGTTCATGTTTAACAAGTTTGATGGAATACGTCCGAAAGAGTCGACTTCTGCAAATTTTTTCAAATTTAGTGTTTATATTATGGCACTGTGTCTTCTTCAATTTGGTTACTAGATACCAATTGGTATTATGCTAGATATGCTGCTTGGAATGTCGACAAAAACTTGTCTTCCGCGTTTTAGAATTCCGAGTTGTTTACTGTTTGTTATTCATTCAAAGGTGTACTATTTTTTGTACATCTCTCAAAATGTGTACACTAAATTGATAATAATAAGGGTGTTTGATAACGTCACGTCGGTAATGCAAAACGTATTTGAGTATACAAAGTTTTGATAATACAAATAAGATTTATCAAATAAATGCGGCTTATACGTTTTTCTTTTATACTTTTTTACTTTTTT